ACAAAAAGAAAGGACAAATATTCGGGTTCGCTCGTGGGTACAATCATGCACATAATCGTTCGAACGCATACGTACGTCGGAATTGTTACAGCGAGGACACCCAGACAGGAAGTATCTCCCAATACACGCGTGTATATTTAAGAAATAAATAAATAAATTACATTCCTCGATGGAAAGAAGCAAAAAGAAACTGGTGTCCTCACGTATGAACAGAACAAAACGTAATAAATCGGCACGCAAACAATCCTGGACGCATCGGCTATAAATTATAATAACTCGAAGTTAGAACTTTTCAAACTCGGAACTTAAACCATTAATAATAATCATTAATCGAACGTAGAACATTCGCTAGCATAAGAACGCTGGGCATTAAGATTTAAAAAAAATTTACATTAAAAATCGATCAAAGCTGAATAAAAATCCCGTCAAAATATTTCAAAAATGACGATGGTCAAATATCGAAAAAAAGTACATAAAATATTGTACACATATATGTACCTATATATACTTGATTCTTGATTTATAACTATATATATTCGTAATTCGTAATTTGGTATATATAGGCATGATTCATGTTCCTTTAAATCTTTTACCCAGCATAAAAATTATTCTACGCAATTATAGTGTAGGGGATATAAGTATCTAAATGTAAAATAATTCGATTAAGAATTATTGCGTCTATCGGAGCACAAGTATCCGAAACAGAAATCGTCAAACAAAAGTACAGTGATTGGGGCGGGGCAATAGGATCGAGGGTTCGAAACTGACAGGGAATAGAAATAATACATAATCTGTACAAGCTATATCCATCTATATACGTGTATAATATATATATAATTATAATATTATATATTATTATAATAATAATTATATATATATTTGTAGCATACGTAAAAATAAAATAATTAGTTAACCGACGTTCTACGCTCTCTCCCTTTCTCTCCTTAGCTAGGCGCCCGTACGCTGTAAGTATTGTCTTAAAAGAGAAACGAACCTACGCGTTTTTAAGAGTATATACCGTTACTCTTCGTTCGATTCTTAAACGTTCGTTATCCTTTTCACTCTCTCTGTCTCTCACGCATTCTCTCCCTCTCTTTCTCTCTCTATCTCTCTTTCCCTTTTCGATCTTGAAATCCTCCGTGCAAACGCATCCCGTCGATGATGCACGGTGACTCGATAAGGCAAGATTAATCGTTAAGTATCAAGGAACCGAAGAACGGAAACGAGGAAGATGCGAAGCTATGGTTCTAGTTACACGGTCCGAATTGAATTCTCGTACATTCTCCTACGCGCCGCATCTTCCTTCGTGATTCGGCCTCCGCTTTCGATGAAAAAAGAGAAAAGTGTCTCGAAACCGGAAACTAACGTTACTAGTTATTAATCGTAGGAACACCAACGAACGTTATCTGTCCTCGCGCGTGGTTCGGAGATGCACGTCTGTATAGACTTGTGTATGTGTGTGTATGTCTCGGCGGTGATGGTGTGATTTCTGTATCCTCATTCTCGTCCTTTTAACGCTTTTTGCTTCGTGTATCTTTTTTTTTTATTCCGTGTTCTATTTTCCTAAGTTTTTATTCGTTCGTTTCGTCGCTGCGCATCATTTTATTAGTTTCGTCACCATTCTCTATACCTCGGCCACTCCGAAAAACGAGTATGTATGTATACAGAGTAATTTTAGACGCGTGGTCGTTTTTCATTTTCTCGGTCGGAATCAGAGTCGGCTGAATCGTGTAGCGGCGGAAATTCCGGTACTGCTTCGCGTTGCTGCATCCATCCCGTCGCCGCGCCTGGCCCCCCAGCCAATGCCTTGCCCTGCGTGTCATTTTTTGCGTTTGTTTTCTTTTTAAATCTTTTTTTGCGATTGCGATTTTGCGATTTTTTTAGCCCTCTGTCTTTATACCCTGCGGGTGGCGACAAAATTGCGTGTCACTGGTCACACACTGAGCCTCGCCTTCGATCGCAACCTATACTTTACACGCGTGCTGTTTCTCGAGACAGACTTTCTTTTTTTTATTCGTACTTTCCGCGGTAAACGAAGTGTGTGTGAAAAATGCGGGCTGTTTCAATCGGCTGCTCGCATCAGGATGTATTTAAAAACAGGTAAAAATATGTATCGTCCTTTCATTCTCGAGTACTTTGATCAAGCACTTCACGTCATCACTCGATTTTCCACGTCGCGTTGTAAATAAAATCCTGATACGAACGCGGAAAGATTGTTTTTGCTACGCGTAGCACGACGACACATTCTAAATAGCGAACGAGATGATTGCCAACAGAGAAAACAAACAACAGCGAGACTAGGAAAATCCTGTTACTCTATGATCGTTGCCAATGCATCGTAATTCGGCGCCTATTATTCTACTATCATACTACGCGAAACGAACTTTAGAATTCTGCAAACGAACTATGGAAATGATGAAAATATCTGTCGTCCCTTCCTCTCTCACGCTCTTTCACTCTCTCCTTTCTCTCGCGACTGTCCATCCGTATACGTACGTACATCACCCAAGAAACCTCAGCCAATCGACCGCAAAAAAAGAATAATAGGAATAACGCACACACGTACTACCGTTAAGACAGTGTAACACGGATGAAACTGAAATTTCTACATGCAGGCATGCATGTCGCGAAGTTGTTCGCTCAAAGATTTATTTGTCTGCGAAGAACAATCCTCCTTCGGCCAATTCGATTCGTTGATCGTTTACATCTCGCGAAACCGTGTACGCGAATGCGAATATGCCGCCTCGCGAGATCATGGAAAATGCATACGATGTAATTCCAGGTTTAAGTATCGAAAGCCGTGCGCGTCAAGTGTTTCGACGACGTAACTCGGATACATTTATTATCGTAAGTACGACCGGATAGTACGAGGAATCGAGACTGTTGCGCGTACACAAAAAGAAAGAGAGAAAACACGCACATTTATAAATATACCTAAATAAGCTAATTAAATGAGTACGTATATTGCACTATCGATGAGTCTAAATTCCCCCCCGATCTTAAGAAAGAAAGCTGTGCTTGTTGCAACCAAGACCCGTCGATTGCTCGTATTTTCGAACGTCGCAGCAGACACGGATTCACGCATTCCGCCCGTTCCGACGTTTACAACGCAACGCGGAACGCAGCGCGACGAGTCCGGTGACGAATTTACGATTGCGATCGGATTTTTTCGTCGGCATGGCCGCCGGCACGTCACTGTGAACACAAATAGAAAAGCAGAAAAAGCTGAGATCAGTGGACGCGCATCAACCGTCGAGCTGTTTTTAGTTGTTTTTTTTTTTTAATTTCTGCAATTTCATTTAGCCAGCATCTCTCGTGATTCTCGTCTTTTCTTTATCCTTCCTCGCTCCTCTCTCCTCCCTTACTTACGCTCCCTCGATCTCTCTTTAATTGCAACCGAGTCTGATTCGATGTCTCTCTCTCACTCTCTGTCGCCTTCTCTCTATGAATTTCGTTTCATCTGCGCCAGGAGGACAAACAAAAAAAAAAAGAAACCAAGTGAATTTAAATTTAAACACGATCCGATTCTGAATTCGGCTTGCGTTCCGGAGCAAGCAGCCGTATCACCCTGCTCCCTCCTTTATCGCGACGATCCGTTCATCTCGCTTCGCTCTCGCTCCCGGTTCTGGTTCTTGTTCTTCTCTCTTTCTCTGTCTCTCTCTTTCTTTCTTTCTTTCTCGGATCGAGGTCGATTATCAAAAGTAAACGACAAACGGACAAAGGACAACAACGTTGGACAACACGACGTTCGACGCGTTCGTTTCGAGTCGCGCCAAGATGGACGGTCCGTCGATGGAAATTCGTGTACCAGCAAAAACCGTTAGGTGATGGAGAGTAGAAGAGACCAAGGAACAGACGACCAAAATCAATCGCAACAGTGTATTACAAGAGGTGCCAAACCGTGCGAACTGTGCTTGTAACAATGCGCTCTCGCCCTCGAAACATCGCGACGGGCATCCGTGTGTTTTGCGAATCGATTTTCCTTTCCGGGTCGCGTTACCCGCTCTCGAAATACAAAATCGCGTCGTATCGGGTCCGAACGAAATTTCACTCCTCGCTGCAATATATTCGACGATGCGTAATTGTAACGCGAATAAATCTTGTCGCGTGCTACGAATTAGAATTATAAGGATCGTAAAACGAGTCTGAATCTCGAGAGAGAAGTCTACCGATTTATTTCGGGAAAAATGGATAATGCGAACCTTCTCGTTTCGTTATCCAAACTCGCACTTCGCGAAGCCATACGAAAGGCGGAACGATCAGAGCTGCAGAATTTTTTCTTTTATATTCGATGTCGCTGCGGAAAGGCTTCGCGCTCCGATTTCTCGTTGCAACAAACACAGTTCTTTACTGTAATTTTTGTTAGATTCGGGCTACCAACCAGCAACGATTAAAACGAGATTATACAAAAGATGAAATAAACATACCACAGGTAAAACGCGTGTTAGAAAGTTACCGAGACGCGTGAGGATGGAAGTGTCGGTGGTGCTCGTGTAACTGTGTGCAAGCGGGCTGCTTCGTCTTTTGTTATTGTTTATGCGGTTGCGAGAACGTTAGTGCTAAGTACTTTATTAACGAACAGCGCCGGTCTCTTATTCCACGAATCCAACATTTTTCGAACAGCAAAGTAATATCGAGTTGCGTTTTCCCAGCGGGATTCGAGAAGCGAGAAGAAGCAAACGACACGGAGAGAATTCGTGAAGCGAGTTACGAACGAAACGCAAAAGTAGAAAACGGGACGAGGAGCCGGAGGCAGGAAGGGTGATTCGAAAACGCGACAGCCAGGAGGGAGGCATGCATTTTAGTCGGTTCATTTCGAGCGAAAGGTTCGCTCCCCGTGGGAGTGGAAGCGTGGCCGGACCGGATGAACCGCGAAATTAATTTTCTTGTTCGACTCGTCTACAGACTTTCCCTCTCTCGCTCTCCCTCTTCGTTACTCTCCCGGTTGATCCGGAAACGCAACGGTAACAAGAGAAGAACGCGACACTGCGGGATCGAAAAGAATCGGATTTTTGGATGCGAACGGACTTCAAAGACGTCGCGTCGATTCGTTATTTTCTTCGACGGAGTTACGATTCATAGCAGCGTTGTATCGACAACCGATTTCGTTTCGACAAAAAGGATGTTTAATCCGGCAATGGAAATATCCACGAATTTACGAGACATGGGAATTGGCGTTTGTTTGTGCGCGAATTTAATTCAATGTCACTCTCAGTTACGCGGCACCGTCGAAATTGCACGTCGGAAAGATTTACCGGACTCGGAAGACCGGACGTCGCACGATACGTTTCGTCCTTTCGTTTCTAACTTGAAAATTAAAAAAAAAACTCGGAATAAAATTTGGAATGTTAGACTATATTATTCGTTAACTCGTCGGATAAGGAGAAATTACGTTGAGAAAGACAAAGTCGTTGCGTTTCGTCGGTCGAATGGAGGAGGTGACTCGTTAGAAGCATCTATATAGCGAGTCCATTAATATGTGAGGGCGCAGGCCCTGCCTAAAAAGTGACTTAGCAGTTCCAATGCATACTAAGCAACCCTTACGCTACCCGACTGCTGCAGCACTCTCTCCCTCCCTCCCTGTCGTGTCCTCTTCTCGCAACTTTCTGCTCTTGCCCTTTAAACCCATCTTTGTAGGCCAGCAACAGCTTACACAGCCCAACCCTGTACAATCGCTGTGTCGACAACGCGTTTTCCCACGACGGACTCGCGCTGGTTTACCGAAAACCATTTCGAACTCGCGGTATAACCGTTTCTCTCATCGACGAAAAGAACACCCGTAAGCAAAAGCGATTAATTCAATTTTCAGTAAAAATAGTTAAAAAAAAACTCGCGGCCGTGTCTTTGGAAATTTTCTTTCATTTTACCCCACCACCATTACAACTCTGCCTCTCTTTCGCTTTCATTCTGTTTCTCTTTCCTCGCACACTTCCCATTCTTACGATACGCGTGAACATATGCGGTGAAATACACATGCGTTTATGGATAGGATACACAAACATAAGATGGATGAAAATCGAGAAAAGAATTCTTATCCTTAAGTTCGCCGCCTTTTACTACCCTAAAACAGAAGATTCATCCAAAGCATGCTCGTGAAAAACACAAGAAAAAATCATCGGAAAAAAGCAAAGCAAAAATGGCTGACTACAGATAAAAAGAATTGTTTACGTTCGCGCGGGGACAGTAGTGGAAGCGGTAATAGTGATTCTAGGTGTGAGAGTTACCTGGTGCATGGGGTCGTAGCCCATGGAGCCGTCATTGTACGGTTGCGACCCGTAGTCGCTACCGTTTATGCCCATCCCGTAGCCGGCCATGTCCTGGGGACCACCGGGTGGCGCCGGCGACATCATCGGCGTCGGAGTGCCTTGGCTGGCACCGCCCATACTGTACGGCGACGCTCCTGCAAAAGCTGCTGTAGAAACAATCGCGGTGCATACAAAATTCGAGGGTGCGTCTTTTTAAGTTCTTCCGCCTTACCGAATATATCGTATCAAAAATCTAAGCTCGTTTCTAATCGTCGCATTTTCGGTAACCGGTGGCGCCTGAAACTTTTCTCTGTGCACCCAATTTAGTATACATTACGTTCCCTCGTATATTAGTAAAAGTTTGGTATCGATCGATCCAAAGTTTATAATTCCATTTTTCAAATATTTCCGGTAGAATCGAATACGCGGACGCCACCGATTAATCGACGAATCGATCTTATATTTTACTACGAATAAACAAGTTTTCGTGATCCACGCACGGATGAAAGCATTACGCGCGATGATATAAACGTTTTTAACGACGATAACGCGGCTCGAAAATTAGCCTTGTACATATTTTTATTACCCGAGAAATTTGCGCGATTCTAGGAGGGACACGTTCAAATAGAATACAAATACGTATACGGCAATGTTAGCGCCACTGTCGTTGGAATTCCGTTTCTTTAATTACGAGGAGGAGAGAAAGAAAAAGGCTGCGGGCCAGCTTACATTGCAAGCAACGTGGCTGAGAAAAGACAAACACGCGGGAAGTGCGTCGAAAGAAACGCGAGAACCATCTCATCGCCCTACCCTCCCTCTCGGCCCCTCTTCTCATCTTTCGTTCCCTCTTCCGCCGTTTAATTGGTAAGTTAAAAATACCTTGCCTCGGCTCTCTAAAATAAAGAGACGCCTCGGCAGTTAAGGGAAGTGCGCGTAATTGCGAGCAGCAAGTCCTGCGAACGCGGAGAATTTTTTCGAGAAGGAGGTGAAGAAGGAAACGAGCAACCCTTGGAATTTTTTGCCCGACATCTCCATGAGAATGCGAAAAGGTAACTACGAACGAGCCGGATGACGCGAGGCTATCGTAATGAATCGTTCCGCTTTTTTCTACTTCGAATTGTTGAAAATTTTGGAGCGCGAAAAAGAAGTCTAGATATCACGATCGATAATTTCGTTTCCAACCGAAAAGATTTATCGGTCAGCAGCAATAACGGTTGCAAAGCCGAGCCGAACAATGAGCAGTAACTCAGTCGCGTAATGATTTACAGTAATGAGAAACCGCCGCCACGCGCCGAGTAATTTCTTTTCCATCCTAATTTCGGACTGGACGTATAGATGACCGCGGTGCGACGGCGTAACGGGAAAAGCTGCCAAGAAATGGTGCCGGCATTAACTGGAAATTTTGCGATCGCGTGTTATTCTACACCAGTATTACGAAGTTTATAGAATTTAGTTAAAACTTTCAACCGTTTGGATTCAACGAAAAAAATGTACTTGTATATCCTATCGAAACGAACTCTTCTAACGAACACCCGTCGCTCGTTTGCGAAGGACGGAACTTACCAGCTGCCTTTTTGGCTGCGTACAAGTTCGCCTCCTCCTGTGCTTTACCTATGTTTTTCTTGTAGCGTATCCTCTTGTTGCCGAACCAATTGGAAACCTGGAAGAACAAACAAAATCGAACGATCGAGCAAGATCGCTGAATGAATTTTAATACGCGAAGCGGAAACAAAGAACTCTCGATCGACCCGTTATCGAAATGCGGAACACGAGTTCGATATCGGTGAACGTTCAATCGATATAGTTGCTCAAAGAAATAATCGCAGTCGAGATCTCGGATAAGCGCGCGATATCTTCGTTTACTTAATTCCCAAGCAGCGCATAAATTACGCGCTTATCGCGATAAGCGTGCGCGATTTCGCTGGACATTACCTGACTCACGGTGATTCCGCACTTTCGCGCAAGCTCTTCCTTGGCCTCCTCACTCGGATAAGGATTGCTCAGGTGCGAATAGAAGTATTCGTTCAAGATTTCGGAGGCCTGTTTGCTGAAGTTTCGTCTCTTACGCCTGAAAGAGAGACGAACGATTTATTCCTCCTTCGCGTTCGAGAAAATTTCGAACTCCAACACGAAACATAAATCTTCTAGGCGAGCTCGCCGATTCGGCGGATGAGTACTCGCCTTGCGTCGAGGAATCGACTCCTCAGGATCATCACCGCCTCGCAGGTAGACTGTTTAAGCTGCATCTGGATACTCGAGAACTTCTTGTGAATGATTTGAACCATCCTCTCGATCTCCTTCGGCGTGATCGGCCTGGTGCGACTTTGTTCCCTCAGTAAATTCATTACGTGAGTCGTGAATTCGTTGCATGCCTGCAACAAAACGAACATCCTCATATTTTTCTTTCCTTAAAAGAGCAAGCAAATCGAGTTTCTTAATCGAAACCGGCGAGGCACTAAGGTACGCGACATTATTCGGCGAACTGGCGAAAAGTGTTCGGTCGGGGATAGGAGAAACAAACTATATTCCGGAGACGCCTTCTTCGAAAGTACCACCGAAAGAAAGGACGCGTCTTTACCGCCGACGCTTCGAAGCGAGAACGCGAAAACCGCAAAAAGGAAAAGGGCGTTGAAATAGGGAAGAGGAGCGAGAAGCGAGAAGAAAGAGAGAAGCGAGCATACGTATAATGCATTATTCCTGGTGGCTGCTCGGTTTAAGGGAAAAAGGACTTTGCTCGATATCAGTATTCGAGACGAGGCGCGCCAGCCACCTTCGGGAGGGACTGGAGGGAGCGAAGAAGGGTCGAAAGAAAAGAGGGGCGAGGGGAGAGAGGATTTTCCTGAGGGAAGACGCGGCGCTGGGAAAGGACCGAGAGAGAGGTTGCCAGGGGAGAAAAGTCGGACAGGGTGGCTCGCAATTTCGAAATGGATTCCACTCTGCCGTCGTACCCCCCGTCCGCTCTTCCCCCTTTCTCCTATATCCACCGCGTCTCTCTACGTTCTCTTCCTTTCTCTCTCTTCTCTTCGCGCGCCGAGCATACCGAGACTCGGTGGGGTGGATCAGCTTCGTTCCTGCCTCGATTCTCGACCAGGAAGACGAGGGGCTTGGGACGAACTCGAGTCGGTGGATTGGATGGAAAACCCATAGAGAATTATGTCCTCCTCTCTTCGTTCGTATCTCCCAACTTTCCCCACGCTTTCCCCAATTCTTAAATTATCCGTGGAACAAATATAATTCGGTGAATAATTCCTCGCGAGTCCTCTCGAAAAACAACTGCCGACGAAGATCAAGATTCGAGATTTGCACGGAGTAACGAGACGCGAGAAACGTTTCGTGGAATGATCGTAGAGCCTGTCCCATTGAAACGGCAAAAGCCAACAAGTGTCTAGGCGACGGTCGTTAATCCGTCTCCGCGGCGAAATGAGTTTTCTCTATGGCTGCCGGCTCTAATTTTAACTGCGGTTCGCTCCCATTAATACGCGCGCGCGCCCGCGAATTCCGAGGATATTCCTATATCTACGTGTAGGTTCAGCGAGTTCGCGGTGGTGCAGCGTTTTGGCTCACGAGCGTTATCGAAATTCCAACCTGCGCGTCGCTAAATATACCTGGTCGCGGTTACGTCTGCCGCGGTTGTTCCGCGGTTACCGCGATCTACGACGCATTCACCCTCTCCTTCTTACGTAATCAATTTTCATGAACCAATTGCTCGCGATCACGGTTCATACACCGAAATTGCGGTCTCGGTTCGCGAAACAGAGAAAGTCTACACCAATACTGCTTGACTAATCGTTTTAGAAATCTAAACGTATCCAAACTAAACCTTAACGAGTTTAACGTATCGGAATAATCTCCTCGCGTTAGGGAGACGTCGGAACGCGCGAGAAAGCCAGTTCAATTTAGCCAAATCGGAAAAGTACGAAGAGACGGTGGGACGAAGTCGAAGACGGATCGAAGAGAGAACGAAAGGGTTAAAATCTGTACCGAGAGAAGAGAGGTAGAAGAGAGAGGAGGATATGCGGCATACACCGGTAAAATTCATGCCAGACGATGTTTGCTGGCCGTGATCACGCGATCTCGTAAAACTCGGTGCGGTTCTATTCTCGTACTTGTCACGCCATTTTGCATAGTCAGGCAGACGTTCACCCTAATGCGGTGACTCGGCTCGGCTCGCTCGCCGCACCGCCGGCTACTAGTTTGAATAGTAAATTTCGGTTATGATAAAACTTTTCGCCGGAAGGATATCAGCCGTAATAACGTTACTTTTAACCGTGGCGATATATTCGCCGAGGCAGACCTCGAAACTTGCGTTATCCAGGCTCGCCAGAAACCGTGCTTTGTTCGTTTAAACAATAACCGCGTTACCGTTCGTATACCGATCTAACGAAAATAAATAAAAAGGCAAATACGCTTTATCCCGGACAGTTAGTTCTGTAAAAGGACAAACGAAAAAGCGAACAGCCGTTCCACAAAAAACGTATTCCCATAGAAATGGATTTCGCTCGGAGAAAAATCTTTTTTGACGCAATCTCGGGAAAAAAACGAACGATTTAATCTTAGATAAAATGGACAAAGACTCGACCGCGCCGTTTGAACGTGAAGGGAGAGGGAGCGAAAATGGAATCAACCGAGTGTTCGACTCCTGGAGAGTCGGGGAGAAGAAAAAACGGGGTTGAAACTTGTTAATGACCAGGCTTATCGATAGGGCGTCCACCGCTCTCGGGTAGCTGCAGTTGCACGCGAACGCATACGTTTCGAAGTCAGTCGCCCATATCGCGACCCGAGAACCTTCCAAAGAACAGTGCACCGGCACGCGGCGTGCACGCGCGTGCACCTCGAAACAACGGAGAAGAGAGGGTGGTGCGTATTCACCGCGGGGAAACATCAAGACCGCTGACACGGGGTGAAATATGGGACCGAAACGGGCGTGGCAATTAGACCACCCCCTTTCTATTTCTGTCTCTCCCCGATTTCATATTTATGCAGGATTACTTACAAAGGAATTCGCGACAAAAATGTAAGAAAATCATTCTGACAACTGATTGAAATATTATAAGAAATTGTAGAGGGTATAAGTCATGTAGGACAGTTGAGAAATTGTCGAATTTGAGAGGCAACGGGCGATAATCCAGCGGAAATTTCCCGACTATGCATAGATCCGTGGTACGCGATAGAGCCGAATTAACCACGCGAGATTTTACTTAGTCGGTTCGTTAGCACGCGAATCGGCGGACGGAGACGAGGTTCGTCGCGCGGCTGACACGTTTTAACAGATCTCTTATCGAAACGAGGGCGTTGGGTTGGAAAAAATTCTGCTTGAAAAATTAACTGGAAACAGTTTACGTTCCAAACGGATAGAACGAAAAGGAATAAAGAACTACGAACCTGTTCGTATTTCTCGAGCTCCTGGTGGTAGATCTGTCTAATTTGAGCAAGTTTGGCCCTGTAATCGGAGTGTTCGATGGCATTGTCTGGTTGTCCCGGTGGTCCGGCCGCCGCGGCCGCAGATGCCGAGGCCGCGGCACCCGCGCCGCCACCCTTTTCTGGTCCGGCGACACCCTCCGCGATCAACATATTGTCCAACCTCATTAACTGTGGATCGGGTGGCTCCTCTTCTTGAGTATTTCGTAAAGACAAAACTGGAACGAAAAAAATTACATTTTCTTTACTCCATCCGATACAATCGCCTTGCGTTGAAAAAGAATTCATCGTATCCCCGGGTTACGAACGACTAAGTTCGGCGAAAACTTCGTAGACGGCTTTGTAGTCGATTTTATCGCCCCGCCAACTTCTTTCCAACAAGCGGATAAGAAAATGTAGTCGAGAAAAAGGAAGAAGAGAATAGGAGTACGTAATTCGTGAAAAATCGCGCGTCCGCCAATCTCGAAGGAATCAATTTCGCATCGGTCTCTTTGTCTTAAGGGCGCACGGCGGCGCGGAGTGTTTTAGACGCGAACCGGTTGCTTTTCCACGGCGTAACAGTGGTTTTATTGTACTTTTACGACGCATGATGGAGCTGGATGACCCATAAAACCACCCATACGAACGAGGGACTTTCTCTTTTCCATGTAGTCCCGCGCGACAGTCCCTCTTCCGGAAAGACGCAACCCCGTCTTCGAGTTTTCGCTCCCTCGACGTATAAAACAAACGCGCGCACGCTCGAGCGAGCACGCCGAGCCAAGGGGGATTACGCGATACTGCGGGAAACGCGAGAAAACTGTCGCAAGATTCGCATCCCCCGCGGAACCGATCATATCTCCGCCGATTTTAAGAACTCGGCTTCCCCCGTGTTTGTTTTTCCAAGCGGCAAGTTAAGTTCAGGTAAAAACAAACACCGAGGCGTGAAAGTTAGTTCCGTCGTATTAAACCGCATGCCTTTCTAGTCTAATGGAAAAAAGGAAAGTCGTTTAAATATAAAAAGTTAATCGTGTGACTTGCCGTGGTACTAATAGGCTGAAGACTAAACGGGTACGCCTAGCCAACTAGCGATTTGTAAGATTTGATAATTGAATTAATCACGCTGGCGGTTATACGAGGTGTAATTGAAACTCGTCGGTATGTTCCTCTCCTTCCGTGCATTCGCACGGCGGCGCGGTGCCCGGAAAAAAGCCTCTGGAGAGGAAAGAGAAGAGGCGAAGATCGCGGGAGCGTGAAACGAATGCGCGGAACTAATGCATTTATACGAAGTGTAACAATTAGGTACCGCCGAGGCCCCGCGGTCGGAGGCGAAGGGAGAGAGCGCAGCTTGAAATTCCTCGTGGGGCTCGATTCGGAAGGGTGAAGACACAAAGTCGATCACAGGGGAACAGTTTCTTCGAGAGGCAACTCTCCATCAGTGCTTTACTATTCCTTTTCCCGTTAACGAATCTCTATACCACGCCGGGGAATCGTTCCACAACTTTTCGCCGATTCTTCGGAAACTCGATTTAAATCTCCGCTTGTTTAGCGAGAGCGTCGTAAGTAGATCGTACATAGTCGTACCCCAGGACTTCGACGATCGAAAAGAATTTGCTGGGTCAACGCGAGACACATGTACGTCTACGTAAGAGATCTCGAGAACCAGTAGCCCTCGAGAACGACTTAGGCCTTAGAGGGTAAGGTTAACGACAGTCAGGAGGATATCGTTAAAACTTCTACCCGCTGCTCGCGGTATCGTCGACCAAGAACTTTTTACGCCACTATACGTAATTAAAAATGAAAAACCTCGCCGACCGGCGGCGCGGTGGCACGAGTCGTTCGCTCGAGAACCGACTGGAATAAAACGCACGTTTACTGCCGGTGCCATAAGGAGGAAGTTGTTTCATCGAAAGTTAAACGACCGTGAGCCATCGACAGCGCTTTCGTTTACTTATCGCAGGACGACTGCGAAGGGGAGAGGCTTTCACTATCGACGAAAGATTTCCGTCGCATTGTATGACTCCAGGCAACAACCTTGTCGTACATATTGTAAAGATTTCTCTCCGATTATCTCGAATTTATAACTGTTTCGCAACTTTTCGGAAAAACCAAGTCGAGCTCGACGATCGAAATAATTTTCGAAGGCATCGACCGAGAGGAAAGTAATCGGGGGTGGCTTACGGGCAATAATCTGGCCATTACTGGGTATAAGGGGTGGTACCGCGGCGGCAAGGGGCTGGTAACCTCCTGCGGGGATCCTTACAAGCGCGTAAACTCAGTTTTACTAGCAGTTAACGTTTTACGACTGAAACGGCCCGCCTGACTCTACGTACGTCTGTACCTCGCCATCTGTTTCTTTCTCGTTCCAGCTCGCGCGATCATGCATACCTCCGCCTTTCTCTCTCTCTTGTTTCCTCTTACTCTATCATCCGACTTGCCGTCGCGGATTCGTCACACGCGAACACTGGCTACACGGCTGTGCGAACATAGCGTAGAAGCGCAACGCGACAACGTAATGCTCGTCATTTTCGAGGGTCGTTAGCGAGCCAACTACATTAATACGACGCCCCGTTCAAGATCCAGCTAATTGCCCGACTAATTCGCCTCCTGTTACGCTTTACGGCGACCAGGGACTAAATTCCTCCCATTCGGAAAATCGTCTAGCTCCACGTTGCTTCATACGTCGTCGGGACTCGCGTGGGCAAATAAATGATGGGAATACTCGCGGCTTTTTCAACGCGATAATTTAACCTCCCAGGGATTTTACAACTTTCATAAAGAAGCGATTTTCTACAAACTTTGAAACAGACGCCTGTGTTTTCTATCCGACTTCGTAGACTGTATCGACCGAGCGATATAGCGATTCGAGATATACTTGACGAGATATACGACGAGTTTTAAAGAAGCGTGTTTGGTACGACGCGATAAATCGAATCGGACGAAGGGCGGGCGACTCGGTCCTAAAATATGCAAGGGTTGCGTATATAAGGGACGAGAGCGCAGAGAGAGAGAGAGAGAGAGAGAGAGAGAGAGAGAAAATTTAAAATCCCTCGTCGAAACAACCCTTGGGATAATTTAGATTCGCGAAGCCAGAGGTATGGTGTAGGCAACGGCATGGCATGGCGTGGGCAGAGCGCCTCTGCTCCGTGTATTGATCTAAACGGGAACCCGTGAAAGCAATTAAGATAAGGCACGGTAACAAAGGGTTGTCGGCCTTGCCACCCGGATTTCACCGTACAAAAACAGAAAGAGATAGGGAATGGCAGAAAATAGAAAGAGGTACGCGAGTGCGGATGGAGCATAGATACCGGTTCACCGGGGGAATCAAAAACTGTCTAGGAACTAGAAAACCGTATCGTCGCCTGTTAAGGCTGGTACTAATCTCGGAATGATTACCTGAAAATAGAATCGTTATTCGTATCGCTTGGTTAACCAGCCGACGGCCCATGAAAATTACAAACTCTCACAGTAAGTTAACGTAAGAATTCGATGAAGTCGAATGATCGGACATTCTTTTGTTCAATTTTTTTCTATGCTTCTCACCCTCGATGTTTTCTCGGTCAGGTAATACGGGGAAAGGATCGGATACGAAGTAAGAAATGAAGAGGGAGAGAGGCGGGTCGGAGCGAAGCGGCTGCTCTTTTAATTTGAAGACGTGTCGTGTCGAGGGTGCGAACGCGGGAAGGAAGACCCAGAGCATAGATATGTGCGGGGTCTGGAATCCAGAAGGAGGAAACGATCGACGGGATTACCCCCGAGACTCGATATCGACACCGAACCGTAAGAATATCCTCTTCTGATTTACGAAAGAAATCGAGCCGCGCCAGATATTCCGCGTTGTTGATATCGCGTTTCGGTTCGTTACACCTACTAGTTTCGCTCGAGTGCCTACCGAAAGGTAGATCGTTGCGTGTCGACCATTATCGTATCGTCGGATCCTGAGAAAGACGATCGTTCCTCCGAATCCGATTCCCTCGACCCGCTCTTTTCCCTTGCCTGGTCTCCGTTGCCTCAAAAAGCTGAGAGACTTCTATACTTTATTCGATTTAATCGACCACGGTAGCGCAGAGATGAAAAAGAAAAAACGCGCGAACGCGACGGGGCGCACGATGTCCACTCGAAACCGGTTTTTAAAAATCGCATACCGGCGAGCAACGCACAAGCGGCTCGTATACGTAGGTACGTCGCGCTCGATGTTGTACCGCGGCGAGCCCCGCGATACGCAATCTCAAATTGCTCGACGTAATACGGAAAAAATAAAATGGATGTAAAAGGAGGAGCGCGTGAAATATTTATTCCGATCCGTCGCGCTGCACGCATATTATCGAGCGTGTAAAGCGCAAGATTTAGAGCAGAACCCAGGCGAGGGTTTTCATTACTCTTCTTTCTTGGGCCGATTCAAATAAGAATTTAACTTGTCCGTTAAAAAGCATCGTTTTTGATCCTCGTTTATATTCAGTACTATAAATCGGCAACCGAGGTTCTCGTTTCCGATTCCTCGACTCCCGTACGGTTTCTTTCGCGCTCTGCCAATGTGGTATTTCCGTTAACGAAAAAGAATCGTCCCGCGCGAACGGTTTCTCGCGGTCGCTGGTTCACGACGAACGTTTTTCCATCGTCGACGCGACTCTCTTCTCCTTTTCTCTTCCGCCTCGTTTCTTCATTTTCCTCGAGCGAGCGCGGGCGTCGCGCCGTTTCCTTTCCAAGATACGCGGCGTCGAACGCGCTCGACCGTGTCTTCGCCGCGTTCCACTCTCGTCCTCACGGTTTTTATTATTTTCTTCCTTTCTCGAAGCGCTTCCGCCGCCACCCGCGCGCGGGAAACCGGCGCGCCGCGGCGATGCAGCCGCGCTCGTCGCCTCTTTTCCGGCCGTGGCTTTTCCCGACAATCCCGACCGCCGTAAATCAAAACTCGACGCGAAAACCTGGCCAAATGTACAGCGTGGGCGAAACACCCGATGTACCGTGTGTCCCGAACGACCTACCGTCCCGTCCTCCGATAACGAATGTTACCTTTTTATACATATACGTATATACGTAGTACATCCTGCTCGGTGCAAAGCGTCGAACAAAACCCAAAAGAATCGCGTCGTACTTCAGAAAAATATCGAGTCGCAGCGAGGAACAAGGAAACGTACGACAAGCATCCCCTCCATCTTTGTCGTGGAAGAAAAGAGGGTGGAACGCGGCTGTCGGGTGGCGTAGGGAGCCGAATAAAATTTTACGGCCGCGAAATCGTCCA